TTCTAAAAATAAGATTGGCCACCCCAGGTGGGAAAAGGTGCTGACCCACCACCTGTTCCCCCTGGTGGCTCGGGGTCTGCCATCTGCCAGAGGCCAGTGGACAGCCAGGTAGGAGCCTGCAGTGATGAGACACTCTGGATCTCTTGGGATGGGGGTGGAGCTCGAACTGCCCAGTCTAGACCTTGCTCAGGAGCATGCAGGCTCATCCCTGCGGCCAGCTTTCCAGGCTCTAAGCTACTGAACTGACCGTGCATGCACATAGGGGTTTAGAGGGACTTGACTTGGGGCTGGAGTGATAGCACAGCGGTAAGGCGTTTGCCTTGCATGCAGCCAGCCTGGCCGAGCCAGGTTCGATTCCTCCGCCCCTCTCAGAGAGCCTGGCAAGCTACCGAGAGTATTCAGTATGCCAAACACAGTAACAAGAAGCCTCACAATGGAGACGTTACTGGGCCCGCTCGAGCAAATCAATGAACAATGGGAAGACAGTGTTTTTTTTTTTTTTTTTTTTAACTTAGTGAGGACTGATCCTTTTCTGGGTTATTTGTGAAGGTAAGAGGGGCCAGAGTGATAGTACCGTGGTTAGGGCGTTTGCCTTGCACGCGGCTGACCTGGGTTCGATTCCCAGCATCCCATATAGTCCCCTGAGCACCACCAGGGGTGATTCCTGAGTGCGGAACCAGGAGTAACCCCTGTGCATTGCCGGGTGTGACCCAAAAAAGCAAAACAAAACAAAAAAAGCAGCTTAAGCCATGATCCCAGAGACTTAGAAACAAATCTCAGAATCCAGCAGCTTTTGGCAGAAATCCCTCAAGATTTAATTACTAAGATTTCAGAATTCCAAAATTGTGTGGCCAACATCATATCCTATTCATAATCAGCAATAGAAAACAAATTGTCTAATGTTACCTTTTTGGCAGATCTGAGTGTTGAGGTAAAATCCCAAATAATAATGGTGGGTCTGGTGTTGAAATATTCAGTATAATCAAAGTAGAGAGAGAGAGTAACATGGAAATCATCTGCCACACAGGTAGGGGGAGGGTGTGTGATGGGGGGGTATACTGGGTATTTTTTTCTTTTGCTTTTTTTGGGGTCATACCCACTGATGCACAGGAGTTACTCCTGGTTCATGCACTCAGGAATTACTCCTGGTGGTGCTCGGGGGACCATATGGGATGCTGGGAATTGTACCTAGGTTGGCTGCGCGCAAGGCAAACACCCTACCCGCTGTGCTATTGCTCCAGCCCCTAGACTGGGTATTTTAGTGGTGGAAAATGTGTACTGGTGAAGGGACGGGTGTTTCATCATTGTATGATTGATACTTAAACCCAAAAGTTTTGTAACTGCTCTCACGGTGATTCAATAAATAAATTTATATAAAAAAGGTTAGGAGATTTGATGATTGGATATACAAAATAAAAGCAAGGACATGTGCGCTCCTTGATATCACTGTTGTAGCACTGAGAGAATAGGATCTGTTTTTCTACATTTTGCCTATTTCCCCTTTTCTTTTTAAATATTTTTCTGTAATTGCAAAAATCATTTATATGGTTAAAAACTGGAAGACAGGGTTCATTCATAAAAGTGTGAATTTCAAACCTACATATGTCGTTACTGTTCTTTTCCTTTCCCTATTGGTAATAATTTTTATTAGCTTTTGTTTCAATCTTTTTAGAAAATATGTAAACATGTATATTCATTTTTATTTTCCTTTGTGGATGAAAGGTAACATTACACTGTGCTGTACTCCTTGACAAAGTTTAGATCTCTTTATTCCCTTTACAGTTGCATGATAGTCAGCTTCATAATACTTTATCATAACAGATGTATCGTGTTACTCAGTTACTTTCTATTGACGGATAGATAGGTCATTTCCAGTCTTCTCTTATTACAACAGATTTGTAAATTCTGCCATTTTGCCGGTAATCTCTGTGATTAACTCCTGTAAGTGAGATTGCTGGTCAAATCACGCAGACATAATTTTGGTAGTTCTTGCCAACTTCCCCTCCATATAGGTTGTAATAGTCTTTGTCCCTGTTGGCCATATACCAGAATCTCTGTTTCTTTACAGCTTTAATATTTATAGAATGTTCTGCTTTTGGATTTTTGTTAATATGGTAGGTGAGATATGATTATATGAGAATAGTTTTTAAAAATTTCTTCCAAGTGAGATTAAACATTCTTTTATTCATAATGTTTCAGACTGCCTTCGTATTTATACTCATTTCTTGAGGATCCATTTCTTGTATTATTGCTGCTATCTTGAATTTCTTTTTTGGTCTCCTCCACCCCTGGAGGGGATGGTTATAATTACTCAAGAAATGTCACTTCCTGGCATGTATGGTTAGCAAATATCTATTTATCTAATTCTTGTACTCACAGAAGTCACAGTCTAAAATGGAAAAAGAGACTTTCATGAAAGATCATCATGTTTCCGTGAAGTAAAACCTAATGGAGATAAGTGTCACATTCTGTGGGATGAGCCTAGTATGGAGTGATTTAGGTGGTGGAGCGATAATCAGCAGGATTACTGGTTAGAATGTTAAGAAATCTTTGACTTGAATTTTTAAGAAAGAACAGATTGATAGGTGGACTCTGCTTACTAGAATCATATTCCAGTAAATATGTAGTGTCAGAAGACTCACAGGCCACATGATATTATGGGTGGCGATAGAGGTGGGCCCTGATACTGTTCTTATACCATATGGATTTTCTCTGTTTGTTGGCCTTAAGCATGACCGTGATATCAAGTTAATCAGAGTAATGTGAACTTGAAACATCTGTGTTCTAATCCCCCCCTACCCCCAAGGAACACATCCAACCTTAGGAATCTTTCTGCTTCCTTGATGAAAATCTCTTTTAATTAAAATTTGGAAGGCAGTTCTACAAAGTAGAATGATTTCATTTCCCATTTTATTGTTGAGTAAGCCCCAAATTTTTGTCAGTGCCTTAATTTTGGTTTATCCTTAGCAGTTACTTTTTGTGAAATTATAGGTTTCTTATGTAATAGCTTCTCTCATTTGGTTAAGAGACAGGTGAAGATGGGTCTAAGAGCATTAATGAGGCTAAGAAGGTAGGTAAAGACAAGACTAGATAGAAATCTTATATCTTATTTTGAGGAATTTTATTTAATCTTTAACTTAGTGGAGATCTTTTAAAAGTCTAAATGGGGATGAAGGATTTTAAAGGGGAATGACAAGATTAGTTCTTCATCTTTGAAAGATAACTGATGATTGTTGAGGCCAGTGTTTTGGAGTAGTTACGGAAAAGTAGGAAGAGCATTTGGGAGTTCTTAGATATGCACATTCTCAGGTCCTACCCAGATCTAGTGGGTCAAACTCTGGAGGGACTGTAGCTGTCTGGGTTTTATTACATTCTAAAGCACACAGAAGTTTGAAACAAATGCTCCAAATACTAACGAGTCTTCAGTGTAATTTGCAAATGCTGTTATGAATTATGTAGTTAATTTTGTTGATATCATATTTGCATTTTGCATTTACAATCAAGATGAATAGAGTAAGTTACCCGAAATTTTTGTTTTAGTTCTTTATATGAAAACATGATGATAAATGAACAGGTGTAGATTTATGCTTTATACTTGGAAAATAGTCCAGAGATTGTCCAGGATCCTGTGGGAATATAAACTACAGTCAAGTGGAGATCATGGAATGGAATAAAACAAGTAAAAGGAATTTGATTTCGAATGCTCTAGATCATGTTTCCCGGGTGGTATTAGTCTCTGATGCAACTTGTGGGGAGACTTTCTGTTTGTTTGCTTAAAGGGGGTAGGTTGGGGAGTGGGGACGCTAAAAATGAGTTTAGGAACCTCTGCTCTAGAAGTTGCTTGTACATGGCATTGATTTGTAATGCCTTACTTAAGGCTTTGGAAAGGAAAACTAATTGAAGATACTGTAACGGAGGGGACTCTGAATTCTGGAGCTTGAAGGAAGAAAGAATGTGGGGTTTATTAACGCACATATCTTCGAAAAGTTGTGTCTGAGAGTAGAAGGAAATGTTATTTTTGCATGGTATTTAAATTTTTCTTTTTATACTTACTGAACATTTTATAACTTTTCCTACGTGTGTTTTTTTTTAATGTAGGAGTATGCTATTTATTCAGCCATTGAGTAAGCTGACTGAATTGGGCATGAACTCCACATTACTTTTTTTTTCAAAAACATTTTTTAATTGAATATTTGTAAGATAGACCATTAAAAAGCTGTTCATAATTGAGTTTCAGTCATACAGTGATCTAGCACCCATCCCTTCCACAGTTTTACATTTCCCACCACAATGTCCCCTGTTTCCCTACTACCCCCCCCAACATCCTACCACCCTATCCCCAGAGGCACTTTACTTTCTCTCTCGGTCTCTCTCTCTCTCTCTCTCTCTCTCTCTCTCTCCTCCTCCTCCTCCTCCTCCTCCCTCCCTCCCTCTCCTTTTCCTTTTCTTACATGTATTTTATTGTCAGAAAAAAATAACCTTTGGTGTTGGAACCACAGTCTCTGGTACTTGGTACTCCCCATTGTCTGGGTAACCCAGAGGGTAGGGGATTGAATTTGAGACTCCAGAGTGCAGTGGGTTAAGGCCCTGAGCTCCCTGGCCCCATGCAGATAACTTTTTGCATACAGAGAAGAAAGGCAACGCAAACGATTAAAAAGGGGTGAATTTTCTATTTAATGAGACTCTAGATTTGCAAAGACACTCTTATACAATAGTTTCACAGAGCTATTAGGAGAGATAGTCTACTTTCATTCTTTATGTAATATCAAGTAGCTCATTTGCATCTAACCCAGTTTTCATTTGTTTTTCTTTGAGGGTGTGAGGGCTGTGAGTTTAAGTTTCAGCCTTGTTGGAATGGGACTGAATGAATCTGATAACCTGCCTTATTTCCCTATTTTGATGGATCAACAAAAGTACAGATAAGACAAAAACTTGGTAAATATCAAACTGTCTTTTAAAGGATGATAATCTCTTTTTTTTTCCTTCAAATTTTATTCTAGGATCCATCAGTTACGCAGGTGACAAGGAATGTTCCACCAGGACTTGATGAATATAATCCATTCTCGGATTCTAGAACAGTAAGACTATTCTTAACTGGAATGCTTTTAAATGATGAAATTAGCTAGTAATTATATCTTAGTTGCAATTTAATTTTTAGTTTGGTTAACCTTCTTTGTAAAACTGTTAATTTTATTTAGAATTTGGCAAGTTAAAATTTTCTGTTTTTCAATTATTTATTTATTATTTATTGGTTTTTGAGCCATACCCAGTGCTGTTCGGGGGTCTCCTGATTCTGCACTCAGGAATTAACCCTGTGCTCAGGAGAACATATGGGATGCTGAGGATTGAATCTGGGTTGGCTATGTGCAGCTCCTACGTGCTGTACTAGCTGTCCAGCTCAGCTTTTTAAAAAATAGCAAGTAATACCAGAAGTGATTGAAAATTACCATGAGTGTTGTGGTGATGTGCTAAAAATTTTCTACTAAGTCCCACAAAGTAAATTGCTAATAATTTCTCAGACATTGTAAGTCTTAATAGAGTACTTCAATTAGGAAAGCATGTTTTTGGTGTAGATAATGTGTTCATGGTGACTTAGGGTGATGCTTTCTTACAGTGAGACACCTAGCTATGGAACTGTACATTGAGTATTTCTAAATTTGTGATTTGAATTAGGTTGCCAACCTTCTTTTCTGGTAGGCTGGAATGTCTGAATTTTTTCTTTTAAAAGTTTTTATTTATTGAATCACCGTGAGAACAGCCACAAAGCTTTCCAGTTTAAGTCTTGGTCATACAATGATCAAACACCCATCCCTTCACCATTGCACATTTTTCACCACCAAGAACCTCAGTATACCCCCCCCCCCCCCACCTCTCCCTCTGCCTGTGTGGCAGAAAATTTCCACTTTACACTATCTGCTTTGATCACATCCAATATTACATGGAATATCTGAATTTTATCTTATCTAAGAAAGCATTTTTCTTCTCAGAATTTGGTCTTGGTTTATAAAAGGTAGGAGTGTTGGCAAAAATCACAGAGAACGAGAGACTTCCGATCTCTGTCAGAAGGACCACATGGTGAGCTTTATTTTACTACCATCTCACAGGGCCGGTTTGTGTGTTTGTTTTAACCTTAGATGTTTTGTTGTGAACTGTTTTTGAGAATTATTGAGACTTTTCTTTCCCCAGTTCCTCTGGCAGATGATATTATTTCCTATGTGAGTCTTTGACTTAGATATCACTCTCAAGAGACTCTGCATTTTATTTATTTTTTAATTGAGATTCTGTGGTTTACAGTGCTATTTTAATGCTGATTTCTCATGCACATAATTCAATACCACACCCATCACCAGTATAGCCCCCTTCCTCTCCCAGGGCCTCTAAGACCCCTTCCTTCTAAGTGCCCACCTCCACTCCCTGGATATGTGGATCAGTTCTCCCATTATGTTGCCTTTTGACCTTTGTTGCTACCTTGCTGTGTATCTAGGAGACTCTTCATTTTAAATGTTGTTGGTTAATTAGTCTCTGAAAAGATAAGGAAGTTTTTTAGTTGTATGTTTGAATTTATATGCCAGTAAGATCCTTACTTATAACCCTTGCTGATGTTTTTCATAGTCTAGAAAATATTCTAAAAGATTAATATAGATTTTACTTGGAATTTTTTCAAGATTTACTAACTTTTTACTTTCAGAATTTTATACACAGTAAATCATTAAAATAAAGTTAAGGGGCCAGAGAGATATAATGTACAGGGGTTAAGGTGCTTGCCTTGCATGTGACTGACCCCAGTACGATCCTTCGCATATATATGGTTTTTTGAACACCACTGAGTGATGCCTGAGTGCAGAGCAGTGAGTAAGCTAACACACAGTGGATTATGACCCACACCACTCCACCTCTCCCCCCCTCAAATAAAATTGAATTTACACATTTCACTTGATTTCAAAACCTTCATCGAACAGCTTTTACTTTTGTGTAGCAACTTCAGCTTAGGTTAGGACAACTTATTGCTTACTGAGAAAGTAAATTTATATTCAGCCACATAAAGTAGCTGATAAGTTGACGGGTTTTGACATACAAATACAGTAGTTTGATATGGCTCAGTCTTATAGAAAATTAGTTCATGAATATATGAAAATGCAACTTGTATTAATTGGAAAGGAGGAAAAAGAAGAGCTGGTATGTTTTATACTGTATGTAGTTATTCTACTCATATAGCTGAGTAGTATATTTTTTACATTTACCAGAGGTTTTTTTTAAAATCCAGTCATGTGTTCAAGGACACTTGGATTGTTTCCAGATTTTGGCTTTTGTGCATAGTGCTGCACTGAACATAAGATTGCAGGTGTTTTTTTTTTCTAAAGAGTGTGAAATATTTTTTTTTCTTCACCTAATCAGTTGCCACATCCTGTCACACCTCCAGTTGATATTACCTGTCTATACTTTTCATTCCTGATAAACTCCTAATTCATGTAACTCCTGAAATAATACAATGTCTATATACCTATGTGTCTCTAATTTTGTTTTTTAACTTTTTTTGGGAGGAGGGGGTTCTCTGACAAATTATTAACCTAAGCGAAGATCAGACTTGGTCTGCTCTCATTAGAAAAGTATGCATCAACCATGTGTGACCTACTTAGTAAGGCCTGTGGGATCTTCTGTGAATTGACCTTACTCTGTTTCAAAAACTACTTCAGAGCTTGAAGTTTATGACACAAAACACAGGGAGTTCCTGAAGATATCTCAACTTTTATTCTCTGATGTTCCATTTACTTCTGCTGACATCATCTCTTTACTAATCTTCAATCTATCAAGACTCTCCCCTAAGCCTTTTATTGATCGTTGAACAGAGTCAAAGAGACTGTGTGGTCAGGATTCCCGGCTTCCCTCGGTTTTAAAATCTTCAGCTGAACAAGACCAACCTGATGCTCAGTATTGCACATTTTCTATTTCCGTAACAGATTACCAGAAAATTGACAGCTGGAAACAGCACACGCTTTTTTATGGTTTCTGTGGGACAGATCTGGATTCACTGTGAAGGATTTCATAGGGCAGTTGAAGAAGGTATTGGTGGGTTGAGTCACATCTCTAGGCTTATTAATGTGAATGATCTTTGAAACCATCTGCTGCTAAGCTCATTCATGTTAGCGATAGAATCCTGTTGTTTGTATGACTGAGGGTTCTTTTTGCTGCCTCACAACCCTCATTTCATGAATGCTAGTCACAGGGCCTAGAATTTGCATAATAGTTATTGTCACATGGGCCTTTCTAACAAGGATGCTTAATTCATCAAGACTGCTAAGGTGGCACCTTATATACTGTCACCTAATCTAGTGAATGACTTTATCTTCTGTTGGATAGAGCATGTCCTGTCCACACTAAAGAAAGGAGGGAAAAACAATTATTAAAGCTGCTTAAGGTTCTGCACACCATTTGGGGCCCCTTATTATTTCGGACCCAAAGATAAAACCCCAGGACCATGATCATATGATCATACATGCTGTGCTGAGCTACATCTCAGGTCCCAAAACTTGTTACTGAGGGCTTTTGTTCGGTCTTGTTTTAAACATACACTCTTATGGGAATAAAATGGCACATTAGGATTAAGGTAGTGTCACTCTGCATCTCTTAATGCCTATCTAAAAGGGCCAAAGTGCTGCCTCAGGACACCAGACCCTTCTTATTTCATCCTTTTTTCTTTTTTATTAGTGAGATACCAGGAGGTACAGTTGTAGATTGACAAATTTTGTGCCTCTTATTTCATACTTTCATTGGGACCGATTTCACTTTGCCCTTGATTTTGGTTTGTTTTCTCCACAGTAAACCCCAGGCTCCATGAACATGTACTGTAGCACCTCTCAGTTCCTGAATTTGACAGTGTTTTGCACATTCTTTATCTCTTGCTTTCTATTTCTTGAATTCCTGCAGTTTTCTCCTCTCAGTGTTTTGTCTTTTGCTGTGTGGAATTTTGTCTATGAGGATACTCCTTTCCCTCTAACTTTCTCAAAACCCTATTATAATAGGGTTTCGGACAGTTACGTGTAAAGATAGAGTCAATAACTTCTTTGCTTTTTCTTGCTTTTTGCATTCTTTACTGTCTAAAGCTTTGCTGCGTAAAGCTCCCACCTGTGACTCTCAGGTCATCCTGTTACAGTTAAGACTACTGCTCTTTATGGCTGTCCAGTCATCTGTTGGTTTCTGAATTGCTTCTATTTGTTTCTTTCTTTTTATAAAATTCCTTAATTTCAGTTACTTGCTCACCATGGCCTTTTCTACCACTAATCCTATGTTGAGTCCTTAGCTTGTGACTATCATTACTTTGACCTTCTCTCTTCTATTGATACTTGCTTTCTTGTTAGTCTCAAGTGACTCCCGTGGCTATGTGACTCAATCACTTACCTCTTTGATAATCGTAAATTCATGTATCTTTCAGTCATTTTTCTAGTGACTTGCTCTAAATTGTCTATTTTAGCCATTTAACTGCCCACTCTTTTTTGAAACGTCTTTTCTCCTCACTCTCAGCTGATGGCTTTTTATTTCATTGAGAAAATGGAAACAATTAATAGAGAGTATCCACAGACTCTCAGTACCACATCCATCTACTTTTCCAACTTTTATAGCCATAATGTGCTTTCCTGCTGTAATAGACAAACTATCTGTGCTTCTGTCTAAAGCCATCCCCTCTTTATGCCCGATTCTTTCTATCCACTTTTGTTAAATAGGGGCTGGAGAGATAGTACAGTGAGTAGGACACTTACCCTGTACCTGGCCAACCAGGGTTTGATCCCTAGCATACCAGGTGATTTCCCAAGCACCACCAGGACTAATTTCTGAGTGCAGAGCCAGGTGTAACCCCTGAGCATCTCTGGGTGTGGCTCAAACCACCCCACCTCCCCAAACAAAACATTGTTAAATAGCTCCTCTTCTTCATTACTAGTTTTTTCAACTTCTGTTGGTTCATTTGTATGGTGGAATGTGTGTGTATGGGAGGGGCAAGGGTTGAGGGTGGGTTGCCCACTACTACTCCAACAAGACCTGGAATTCTCAGCTAAAAACACCTTAGTATACCTCATATTTTAGA